TCTATTCTATTCTATTCTATTCTATTCTATTCTATTCTATTCTATTCTATTCTATTCTATTCTATTCTATTCTATTCTATTTCTATACTACATGACTGTATTCTTTGAAAATATATTATGCTGTTATATTCTATTTCTTTACTATTCTATTTTATTCTATTCTACCGGTATTCTATTCTCACAAGTCATGGGTTTAAACCTTTTATCAGCATTCTGTAATCAGAGCATCCAATATGCACACTATTCAAGAAGAAATACTAACTAGATGATCATGACATTGCCATGACAACATAGACATATCATACAGTTTAATCACTTAATTCATCTCAGTACTGACCTCGCGCTTCTTGGCTTCGTTTTTACCATATTTGGGGAATAAGTAAGAGAAGATGTTTCCACAGCAACAAGCTACATGTACTAGTGGTCCCTCTTTTCCTAAACTCAGTCCAGCTGATACAGCTAGCATCATTGTAATGGATTTTATTAATAATGTCCATTTCCCTAAATAACCACGAATGATGAAGCCACTTAATATTGTTTTAATCTGAAATAAAAACAGAGTACAGTCTCAGACAAGGCATCACTATGGTGACAAAAAGAAAATGTGCTTTAATTGGTAATTGTGAAAAGTGAAAAGGGGGTATAATTTTAAAAATAAATATATATCTGTATCTATACTTATCTTGCAAATTTGAATGAACTTAGTCAAGGCATACCCAAGAAATGACTCTCAATCAATAAATTGGTCAGTTTGTGACCAAGAAATTGCTCTTAATAAATGAATAATAACAAAATTAAGGCTCTCAATCAATGAAATAGATCAATGCATAGCATACCCAAGAAGTGACTCTCAATCAATGAAAAAAAAAAACTGTCAGTGGTAATAGTCCATGCATCTATCAAAATTGATTTATTCAGCTCAGATTTCTCATCTTCCTATGAGCAATGATGTAAGAAATACATTGTCTAATTGTGAATGCATCAAAAGTGTACTAACCTCAGGTATACCAGATCCACATGCGTATGGAGCAAACGCCCGTACTAAACTCACAGCTAGCGTTGCTAATCCAAATCCCCATAAAACATAAAATAAATAATTAATTATATAGCTGCCAGCATTATCGCCTAATATATTAAATAATTCTGCCCATGTATGCCACTTAGAGCAACCTTTATCATTGAATTTCAGTTGGTCTGTATCATTTTCTGCCCAACAACATTGTTCTCTGTTCAAATAAAACGCCTGCGGACACACTCCAAGTTTTAAATCTGTCATCCATGATGCTCCGATGTCGATTATCCCGGCACAGGTACCTAGAGAAAAGAGATACTTGTCGTTACTTTGTGATGCCATCCACAGATTGTCATGGTAATGTGATTTCAGGCTTGGATTGCATCCCAGAAGAACATAACAATATACCATAGCCCCTCCATCAAGCAATTATTTATTCAAAACACCACAGTGGTTGATTTAACCCTTCTAATTATGAAAGGAACTGCATGTATCAGTTACAATGTTTACCACTTGATAAAGAACAGTGATAGTTTGTGTGACAAATGGGACATGCAATATTTATACATTTTTGCAAAGTTATTCTCTATGACTAACCTTTGCATAAATGTTTACCACTTGTAAATTTGAGAAAGATTGTGGTTATTCAAGCAAACAAATAACGATAGAAAATTTATCACAATCTTATGTTTCAAAAGTAATTGGACATACTGTATGTCATTAACTTTATTTTTCAATATAAATTATTTTTTTGGTAAAAAAATGCCAAAAATTACATATTTGGGAACAATTTTCATAGAAATCCATATAAGGTATTATTTCATGAAAAAAAATATATAGCATTTATTAGAATTCGTGACAAACATAAGTATTCATCTTGTATATACATATGTAACCAAACAAAATATGTAGATATCGTTTACCATAGCAACTAATGATAAATGGCTAAATAATCACCATTTTCATGGATGCTTGAACAATGTCTTTTTGCAAATTTGTCATTTAATTGTTTGCTTAGAAACGCATTACAAATTGTTTCATACATGTATTTAGTAGCACAGGATACACACTGATATACATACTTTGGTCAGTTGTTTTATAATTTATATGTAACTAATTTTTTATCTGAGCCTGTGAACATCTTGTGAAGATACACCTGTAGTGATTAATGGAAAATTTAAGGGAACCATGGCAACACAAAATTTTGACATTCCAAATAACTAAGTAGTTTTCACTGGATAAAACAAAATGTTCATGTAAATCATGTAAGAATTGATTGAACACACATCGGCTGCTCACTACATTTTTTCAATTTATTTTGGTTATCCACGATATCTCTACAAATAGCCCCAACAATTTAAGGAATTTGAAACTACCGGTAAGTCAGAAGGGGACAGACTCATTAGTTATATGGCACTTCTGCACCACCAAATCATATACAGATGTTTTTAAGTCATTTTATGTAAATCTGTACAAATTCTGAAGGAAAACACAAATGTCTATGAAATGTCTCAGTTCTATCTTATTAATTATGCAAGACTCCAATTTTTCAGTGTGGATAAGTATCAACAATTAAAGTCCCATAGAAAGCAACTATAGATAAACATATTGACATGATCTGTATCGTCTTATCCCTTAGGCTATATTGACATAGTACAGTATTTTGCCGATATGCCATTTAGGGCACATCAGTTCAATATAAGGTCACATGTACGCTAGAAAACAACATAGATAAACTGTTGAAATGTACAATTGAAAGACGGAGCTTGAGTCATATTCAATTTTTACACTACTGAGCATGTAACTGCACATACATGTACATGCAATGCATTATGGGAAAGAACATATTGTATAAAGTGGAAACAATATTTTTGTAATTATTTATTTTCACTGGCATTTAATTTTACTATATTGATGTTTTTAGTAATTTCTCTGGGTTTATGAAATTGGCAGAGAAACAATGAGTTCTAATGTTATTTTAAATGTCTGTACAGAATCAACAAAATTAAAAACTAGCAAATAAACAAGGCCCTTTTTTAGTACATTGCAGATTGACTAACATATGTCAATATTTTAATAATTGATTTGCATCAATAATATTTTTTTTATTTTTAGAATCTTGAAGTATGAAGAATATGACATACTCTTAAATTTGGTTGAACCTCTTTAAAGTCACACCCACTTTAATCTCACTGTAAAATTTTTTTAAATAAAGTAAACATTTTGAATCCTCAACAAGTTAATGATTAAGAATAATTAAATTTGGCAATATTAACTGAAGCCCATCACACACTATGGAACACTGACTATTCACCTCTATAATCTGAATAAATAATTGTATGGCAATGCAGCAAAATACTGCCCACGATGTGGGATAAATAAGTGTGGACATCAATGAGACTACCTCCATGGTAAAAAAACAAACAGAATAGAGTGGCATTTCTTTCACTATCACTTCTATTCTGACAAACATCTAGGAGACAGCAATCAATTTAAGCACAATCTTTCAATGAATCAAAGTGAAATATTCCACACTATATATCTCAGGGGAAAGGAGACGCAGACATCAGATGACTGCCGAGAGATGATCAGGTGAAACAGCAATTAATAACCCGCTGTACATGATATCAATCTAAAGGAAATAAACCAATCAAATGAAGATGAGTTATAAATAAGTATATTTCACTGTTTTCTGTGCTGTTTCATAGTTGATGTTTGTGAAGCAGAATGAAAATTAACAGTAGCCCAAGGCGCAAAGACTGCCAAATCTAGTACTGGAACTACCATTTTTCATAACTATCAGCCCAACTGGAATACTAAAAATTTACAAAAAATATTAGTACTTCTTTTATGAAATAAAGAATTAGTCTTCAAAACTATTTATATTCAACACAAATTGAGCAAAATGACATGGTATTTCTAATCACACTTTTCTGTACATGGTTGTAAGTACCTTAAAAACCAGATAGACTACCAAATAGTACTATTTGACTACCAGCTTTCAAAACGAGTAGCCTGTCAAACTTCTAATAAATGTTGTTATTTTCAAGGCATTTGAAGTGACTTCAATACGCTATGACATGCAGAGAAGCGGCCTCACGTTACACACCATCTAAGCTGCATGTAATCTATACAACAATCCAGGAAGTAGGATGACGTTTGAAAACTAATCAAAATGAAGCAATTGAGAGTTGAAATAACATGGCTGGCTGGCAACCTAACAATTTTATGTGTTTAGTGTATTAAGAAATACACAGTAAATGTCAGAATAGAGTGATATATGAAGCATTTTAAACCTCAATGTCATAATTTGAAAAAACTAAATTAACAAAATTTGCTTATTTTTATTAGTTAATTATTACATCCTCAATACTAATTTAATTATCTGTTTTAACTTTGTTACATATGTTCACTGTTTATAATACAGCCAGGTTACCAGTGCTGATACAATATACTATTAGGTACAACAGGGTGAATATAACATAACAGTTTAGAGAAATTAATTTCTTGAAGTCTACTTGTATTTATTGGTACATGTAAACCTTTTCATGGATAGGATTTCTCAGAGTGATTTTGTAGACACACACACATATGGACATAATAAATCAACTGATTTGTATCTACATTCTATGAATAAAACAAACAACTGAAAGTTTTCAATAAAATCCTAAGTTGCAACAATTTGAAGATCATTTCATTTAGATTTGTTTTTCAAATTAATATTATGCAGATAAAAACCAATATTTGGTTGTACCGTACTTTACACATGGGTTGTTAAAGTACATACAATGTATTTTTGGCTGAGAATGTAACACAAACTTTACTACATGTATATTGTGTTGAGTCTATATTTATGCAGTTTTGTTTGAGAGGAAGTACATAGTAGAGATGGGGGTGGGTAGGGTCAAAACAAATCATTTTTCAGTAATTTGTTGCGAAATGTTTGTAGTGAAGATTTTTGTATGTGTTTTTAATGTGTGACCTTCATGGTCGAAGAGAAGGGGCAATTCAAATATAACATTAAACCACGTACATGCTAGACTTTATTTGTACAGGGTAGTCTGTTCAGTCATATACCTATCTTCTATATATTTTTTCTGCAAGTTCCTGTCATTTTACAGTAATCCACTATAAAGATACTGTGAATTTTGATATGCACTGAGGATAGGAACAGCACACAAGACAGACTTTTTTTAAGTCCACTCTGACTGGAGGCCATATTCGCAACAAGACTGCAAACTTGCCAAGTTGGCAGTACATGTAAGTATTCTTTTTTTTTTTTACTACTGAGTGGGCTGCTGATGACAGGAGTCAAACCCACTTTCTCTGACGATCTGGCAGACATGATAATTATTATACCACACACTAAGCAATGGCAACGCATACCCAACATGTGTTATTCTAATGATACTGTACAGAAAGAATATTCACCAGGTTTAATTTCAGCGTATTTGATGTTGTAGGGATATTCACCAACAGATTTTGTCGTTCAAATTTGTCTGCACTTTTTTTTTTTAGATTCTTCAACATTTCTGGAAATGAACACTCATTTTTGAGGCCAACAGACAAAATCTGAGCCAATTTTCAATTTTATTTTGTGAATTTGTGATGAAAAGAAGGAACTGGAGGTGAAAAGATTAAATTAAATGGTTTGTAAAGAAAACAATACATTATTATCTATTATTATTCAGCTATCAGCAAAATAGGTGAAACTAGAAGCCAGTGAATAATTAAGCTCTGTACAGTAAACAAATTCACATGTTATCATGGCAAATAACGTCTCAATCTACGTCAAATTTTACCAACTTAAAATATGTGCGTCACCGTTTTATTACTATTTCCTTCAATGAGAGTGACAATGTAAATAGCATACCTGCACCGACACCCACTAAAAACACCACAAGCCATCCTGACCAGGCATCGTGAGCAGCCTTCAATTTGTTGAGCGGAGACTTGTCTCTGTCTCGGTGAATCCTTTTGTGTCTCTGTCTGTCTTTCTGGATATCTTTTAACCAATCAATGGTATGGAAATCATCATACTTGCCAGTATCAATAGGAATATCTTCCAATGGTTCAACAAGACCTGCCGATGATAAAACAGACATTATATGTACAGCAACCAGAACCTTAACTGATGTAAACGTTAAGTGTTTACATCAATAGATCAATAGCCCTGTTCACACTCATAAAGGTGTGCGCTTTACTTGTGTTAAACCTAAGCCTTAAAAATGATTTATGCTGTAAATAGATTTTACAACACATTGATGTCTGAAAGCAACACAACATGTGAACTACAGTATAATTCATTTTTGTACAGAAAAATGCAGGTTACTTTCTGGAAGTACTTGCCACTGGGAGAACATATCAAATTGCCCTGATAATAGAAATATAATCACACAACCCTGTCATAGAGCAAGACATTGAAGGTGTCTGTGGTAAAATGCACTGTATGTACCATTTGTACTGTACAAAACAAAAGTTAGGAGAAAAAAAAGTGATTTAAAGTATTGCCTGTTACAAAAAAATATAAACAAGTAAATAAGCACACCTCAGCTAATATGATGTAGTTACATGACAACACAGGGACATGGTTCAATCTATAAACCATTGTTTACTGCTCTATATGTATATGAATAAAAGCTAAAACAGTGAATTACTCTGCCAAAGCTACTGTAATAGTTCTATTTTAGTCTTCACTTTTCTTCAGAGTATTGCACCAAAAATAGCCAAATCTTTGAGCTAAAACTGAAAATTGTCAGTTGGTTTCAAAATTAGGGTTAATTTCCAAAAATATTGAAGAATAAAAGAACAAGCAGCCTCTCGGCTGAGATAGCTCCGCTGTTTGCAATGCACATTTCAATTATAGAACAGAAGATATCATTAGAAAATGAACAATATGCATAGTATCAATGCAATGGGACTTGCTGTTTTCAACAAAAATTCAAAAATATCATTTTTCACCATAAATGATTGTGGTTTTTAACAAGAAGAAAATATCACTTTTTACCAAAAATGCCAAAAATATTCACCAAAATTACTTAGATAATTAAGTTATCATTACAAAATGAACAAATCAGAGAGAGGTCCGCATGTAGTACCTATATATGTAATATCAAAGCAATTGGACTTGCGGTTTTTAACAAGAAGTCGAAAATATCACTTTTTACCAAAAATGACAAAAATATTCACCAAAATTAGAGAACTAAAGATATCATTACAAAATGAACAAATCTGAGAGAGATCCACATGTAGTACCTAATTATGTAATATCAAAGCAATTGGACTTGCGGTTTTCAACAAGAAGTCGAAAATATCACTTTTTACCAAAAATTACAAAAATATTCACCAAAATTAGAGAATTGAAGATATCATCATGAAATGAACAAATCTGAGAGAGGTCTACCCAAGGTACATATACACCAAGTATCAAAGCATTCAGGCTTGTAGTTTTCAAGAAGAAGTCGAAAAAGTAAAACATTGACACGGACGACGGACAATCACTCATATGATAAGCTCCGCTCGACAAAGTTGACAGCGGAGCTAAAAAAGTGAAGAACGATTTGGGTGAGAAAATCTGGTAGTGAAAAGGTATAATCTTGTTCACCAATATTACATTAATAATAATATTTATATTATTATTTTTATATAAAACTGTGATAATCATCCCACCACACATGCCTGAGACATGGGTCTGATATATAACGGTATATAAACAAAGATGGCGACTTTGATTGTTGTGCAAGAAAGACACTATCAAGGGTTACTTTGGTAATTCCTGGAGTGATTAGAATGCATCAAAGGATTCTAAAGTAGTCCAAGTCAGTATTTGTTACACATCATAGCAAGATCAAAACTCGCATGCATGCTTACTACTTAGAGGGCACATTGGGTTGTGGTAAATCACTGTTTATCAACACAACACTTGCATATGCATTGCATGATAAGTTCGACATTTACGTGTATTTTATACAAACAAAAACGTGGAGAAAGAACGGCATACAAGTATCACTCAGCTCAACTCACAAACTGTTTACATTGGTGCCAGAATAATTTGTATTGGTTGGACTTTACTGTTTATGTAATACCCTGGTAGCTTCTGACACGATATATAAATATTACATGTACAGTGTGGGAGTAATATAACTTACAAGCTGGCTATCAGCTGACTAGGACTTTTCATAAAGTCTGCAATTTTTGAAGCAAGTATCACTTGTCATCAATAATTTCAACTTATTCCTTATATTACATTATGAATACGAGACATATTAAGCAGATTTATCTGTAAAATGTAGACATGTAGAGTATTTAAATCAAACTAAGCCAGCTTAACCTTTTCAGCACCAGTCTTTCTCGCCAAATTATTCTGCACTTTTTTCTTATATATTCTTCTATATTTCTGGAAATGAACCCTAATTTTAGAGCCAACAGGCAAAATTTTATTCAATTTTCAGTTTTTACTCCAAACATTTAGTTGTTTTTGTCCCAATCTTCTAAAGAAAAGTGCAGACTATAAACGGGACTATTTTGAGAATTTGTGATGAAAAGAAGGAACTGGTGGTGAAAAGGTTAGAGCCAGCTAAATGTTAAGTTATATGTACAGTACTGTACATATTCCATGTGCTGTGGGAACAATGTTGAGCTCTTTTTAGCACAAGTTGAAATTATAGTGTGGACATGTCTATGTAGCAGTGAATGAGATTACAATTAACCGCATGGTAGATGTCATGGCAATTAAAACTAATAAATCTTGACTTGCAGTATAAGGTTCTTTTTCTTTAATGATCTACTATCTACACAACAAACCCATTCCCTTCTTTTATTACGAATATTTATACATTTGTCAATTGTCATTTAAATACTTGTGACCAAAATCTGTGAGCAATATCACTTCCTGATGCTTATATATTTTTGATTAGAGATAAAGTGCAAAAAGTTCAAGCAACATTTTGTGGAGCTGACAATTACCATTGAGGGGCATCAGATAAAGGCAAGCAGCAAATTTACTTAATACTAGATTAAGTAAATGCTGCATGGTTTGATTGTTGATGGAATATTCCATTTGTAACCAAGGGGTGCAAACATTTTATTCCATCATTGCAGATACAAATTTTAATTTCTTTTCTCTTCATATACATTATTTTTTGTTTTAACAAAAATCTCAAGCCTGACAGGGATCCCCCCAATTCAAATTGACATTGACATTGAAATCATCTCGACTGACCAAGTCTGCTAGGCTGAATATGGTAAAAACACGCAAATATTCATGTTTTATAATTGGTACCGTGTGGGGTTAAATGGTTGACAGCATAGCAGTAACCTGACATTAGAATAAACTAGTACATGCAAGGACAGGTGCAGGGGGTTGGGCAAGGGCAGGGGCCATGGAGTAGATGATAGCGGTTAAAGGTCACTATTTGCATTTTAGTAAGTGATTCATACACATGTGTGAAGATGTAATGATTAATAACCCTCCATGCCAACATTTAAATTAATTTTCCAGCTATTTGCATACTATTCTCATAAATAGATGGGATGTTACATACTGCCATGTGTTAGCACCATAAAAATAAATTTTAATCAGTAAGGTATTACATGTATTTAAAAATTAGTACAAAGCTGCCAACGTTCTTAGAACATCAGAAACCAAAATATTAACAGTCAGTTATCTTGTAATTGATTGACTAATTGTAAACAACG